TGTAGATAGTCTTATAATACCTAAATAACTTGTATTTTTGGTGATTGTTCCTTGTGATGAATAGAGATCAGGTCATACAAAAGCAAGCATGGTACTGGTGGTGGTTGTATTGTGGAGGATGGATGTTATTAAACATTCTCAGTATGCAACGCTTACCTAACACCACTGGAACACAACTCTGAGGGAATTACAGTCAGATTAGAAGCCCTCCGAGCTCTTTGGACATTTCCATAGCCCTGAGCAGAACTTGGGTTTCTTTCCATGCTCTTTTTTTTTTAAAGACTATAAAGAGGCAAAAATGACTGTTTGATTAGAAGCATCAGGCAACAATCAATTATCCTCTGTTGTTGTTCCACTGCAACATAGTAAAGATGTTGGTAGATGTATTTAAAAGTCAGGATCAGGCCCTCCCTGATGGCTCAATGGGTTAGGACACAGCACTGCAAGCTAGCCACAGCCACTTCAGTGCAAGTTCGATCCCCAGCCTGGGAGGTGACCCACATGGCGCAGCAGATCTCTCCTGATCCGCCCGCTGCCCCCCTCAGCAATATACTTTCTCGATCTGCCTGTTCTGCTCCTCACTCTGTCTCTGGTGAATTCTTTCACTGCCCCTGAGCCTCTGGTCTGTACCCCAGTTCTGTATGCATAAATAAATAAATCTTTTTTTTAGAAGGGGGCTAACATTAAAAAAAAGTCAGAATCAGAGATTTGTGAGTATCATAAAGGCAGACTTCACAGTACACTAAATAAAAGAGGTTGAAAGTGCCCAGTAGGTTGACAGAAACTTCTCCCTGTGTCTTGCAGCACCCACCTCTGCCCTGTGGGAGGCAGTTGTGTGATCACAGCAGGCTATTGTTGGATCATTACTAATGGTGACACTTGCTCTCAGAAGCTCTTAAATCACCAGGCGTGGACTTGGCTTTGCTAACCCTATTTTGTAGAAGGGAGACTGTTTGAGGTCAAGCTGAAAATCACCGGTGTTTAATGCAACCTCATGTCCTGAGTCTGACGTGTGTGGATTTGCCCCCAGCAGGGCAGCCTTGGTTGTCACTTCCATCACTGTCTACTTCTTCTCCAGACTCCTGATGAATAGGATTCGTTGCCCTTTAGCTGAACCAACCAAGGACATTAATTTGAAATATCTGAAAGCTATTCATTTGTCAAAAGATACTTCCAGTCACACAAGCTGCAGTGATGACATTTCTGCCCTGCACTGACTGATAGGGTTGTTTGCGCTTTGAAAAGTCACGTGCCCTGGTCGACGACAATGCAATACCTGACCTTAAAATGCCCATCTCCCGAAGATGATATATTGACTACTTTGCACGTGCCCATAAATACAATGCAAACCTCTCAATTTAAGTTAATGACAAACTTATTTCATTGCAGTTTGCTAAACACTTTACCTGCCTACTCTTACTTGATCTTCACAATAATTAATGTTTTTAATATATTTATAAAGGAGGAAAATGAAGCTTAGCAAGATCAGCACTGATGTAACTACTTATTCATCTGTTCCCTTTTACCGAAATCACTTATGTAATAGTTCAGAATTCTAAAACATAATATAATCAATTTGTATTTTAAAAATTAAGAAAGCGGGCCCTCCCTGGTGGCGCAGCGGGTTAAAGCATAGCATTGAGAATCTAAAGCCGCTTCCGCATGAGTTCGATTCCCGCCTGCCCCGGAGGTGACCACATGGCGTGGCAGACCTCTCCTGGCCCGCCCGCTGCTCCCCTCAGCAGTGTACTTCGTCGATCTGCCTGTTCTGCTCCCCGCTCTGTCTCTGGTGAAGCCTCTCACCGCCCCTGAGACTCTGGCCTGTACCCCAGTTCTGTATGAACAAATAAATAAATCTTTAAAAAAAAAAATTAAGAAAGCGAAATAAAATCAGTGGCAGAAAGGAGAGCCCATGTAGGTAGTGCACCCCCAGGGTAAGCATTAGTACGTAGACTCACAGGCGAAAGAGGCCTCCCAGACCACAACATTGTCATAAACTGGATCCAAGTTTCCTGGAAACCAAAATAAAAATGGAAAATAAACATGTCCTATCATCCAGGAAAATAAAGCATATCAGTTATTCAGAAGACAGGATGCCTCCCTGATGGCTGAAGGTAAAGAAATTCTTTTATAGGGGCCACCACATAGGATGTTTCTCTCTTAAAGCTGCAGAAAAAGTGCCCAGAGGCCATCACAGCCTCTGTACTGCCTCTAAAACGAGGGTCCTGGCATCAGCATATTTCCCTTAAACTTCCTACGTGATCCTGATGTATAGTGAGGGTTGAAAACCACTGACAGTAAATTCTGAGTCACCAAAGATGCAACATCCCTGAGTAGGCTTCTCCATTAAATCCCAGAGGGAGCTGTGTCCCCAGGCCAACTGTAGGAATGGGGGGGTTGGGTGCTCAGTTTCAGGTGTTTTCCTGGGAAAGAGAGCAAGGGAGGGGTAACAGATTTCAGAAAATGAAACTTAGATAAGTTGAGTATTCATCCCACGAAGGGGACTGAGTAACTGGTAGGTGACCACTCAGTGAGAACTTACTCCAGGAGTACCACTCCAGGGAGCCTGCAGGAAGCTGATTCAGAACCTAATCCATCCCTGACAGCCCACGCTGCTGCCTCGTGTTCTGGAGATTTCTCAAACAGCTTTATTTTATGCATCTCTGCCTGCTACCTGTGCATGACTCATGATCAGGAGAAGCATCGATGGTTTCTCCCCTTTCCTGGTACAGAGGGATGTCATCAAGTACAAGAAAAAAAAAAACAAACAGCATTTTCCAGGAGGGCTATTAGTTTAGCTTTCCCAGTGACTGAAGGCCCCCAGTGAATCTGATCCCACTCAGTGTCTGAAAAGAAGATACCGAGGGAATGAAAAGCTTCCCTGAGAGAACATCATCACACTGTAAGCTTTTGGGAGATCCTCCTAAATCATCTGTAAAATCTTGCACCAAGCATTCCTATAAAATAATAAGTGTTTCTATTGAAAGCCTGTAGCCATTGAGTGCCTTGCAAATTTTCAAGGGGTAGTGTTGGTGTCCTTACAGTTATCTCTGGAGTATCCAGAGAGAGAGAGGGTGCCATATTTTCCAATAGTTAGACAAGAAGGAAAATGTATCACACAAAGTTTTGCAAGTTTTCCACAGACACCTGGCCCACCTGTGAAACTCTCAGTCCCTTCCAGAAATGCTGGCTCACTAGTACTTGGGAAGGCCTGGAAATCTGGTCTTGTTTTTCCTTTTTGGTAAAATAATTATTGCCAATTTTTCTTATCCTTTGGAAATTTTAGGAAGACTGCATGTGAAGGAAATCTGGCTAATGGGTTGATCAAAAACAACAGGAGGCATTGGGAAAAGATTCTGTAGCTTTAACTCTGAAGGATTTTGTGTTCCAACACAAAGCCACTTTGTGCCAATGACTTACATTTCCTTTGCTTCCAAATTCTATAAAATAGGAATTATTTGATCATCAGAGTCAGCAGCAAAAAAAGACAATGTGCATTTGATTGTGCGTTCTTGCTTAGGGAGAAAAAAAATAGTACATTACTGGGTAACATGGTACCTAGGGCATTAGTGATAGTTTGGTGCATGACAGTGACTGTTCCTAAGGATCGAGCCAAATTGTGACCTGCCCCTCTGAGCAAAATACCCTGAGCTTGATGTCCATCCCGAAGTGGTGATTTCAGCTGAGGAAAATGGTGCTTTTGGGGGGAATGGTTGCTGTCTGGACAGCCTGTCTGAGCCTTAGGAAGGGGCGGTGTCCATGACAGCCGTGGCAGAGGGCAGGAATGCTGCTGAACTCTCTGCTGTGCACAGGATAGTCTCTGCCATAAGGAATTAGGTACTGCAGATGCCATAGTGCTGCTGTTGAGAGACCCTCTCCCAGGGCAGACAAGACAAATACAAAGTATTGTGGCTGGAAGAATAAACTCTCCAGGTCGCCCCACAGTGGAGATGGATGGGTCGGCCACCAGTGACTTTCTGGGAGATCACCCAAAGATCAAAGTTGTGGATTTGCGTCCTCTAATTCAAGACTGGGACTGACCTGTCCCACACTCGCACCCACCATTCTTGTGTGGGATCCAGAGTGACTGGCACCCAGGGTTTGTGGACTGACACCCACTCTCACTTTGGGTAAATCTGCATGTCTGGGACACCTCATTAGAATGTTAACCATTGCATTCGCCTGGGAAACTTACCAAACTGCAAACTCCTGGCTCCGTCCCCAGAGATTCTGCTTTAGTAGGCTCAGGAGAGTACCTGTGAGACACACTTAGGAAAATCTCCTCAGGGGACTCGGAAGCACCAATACAGTCAGGTTTGGACCCCCTAATTTCCTCGCCACCTCTTACATTCAGAACATCTGTGAGGCCTAAAATCCTCCGACATTGCTGCTCTTAACCTCATGCAAAGTAATGGTTTGGATGGGTCTGAGGCATTTTGGTTAACTTACTGTTTTTTATTTTTATTATTGCTACTAATACAATGAACACTACCACTACAAATAAATGTTAATAACACTAACAACAATAGGAACAGTAACATGATGTCAAGGTGACACCTGTTCAGAGGAACTACTTCTACGACAGTAATTCTCCGTCCTGGAAACACATAGAATCACCTGGGGGCAGGGAGATTTACAAACCGATGCCAAGCTCCTCTCTGCCACGGTGCTCAGACCACTGCATGCTTAACCTCCCTCTTGGTCCTCATAGTCAGCATACCCAGGGTGGGTCCCAACATAGCAACCTGCCCACCAGAAGACCAGAAGGGTCATGTGCACACAGGTGCACCCAGGTGCACACAGGTGAAAGCTGTGCTCCTGACTTCCCTGACCCTGGTGTACAGGCGGGCCCCACCACTCACCCAACTTTCTTCTAAACATTGTTTTCAGACCCTCACTTCCAGGTCATTTGATAATGTTTGAAATAACATTTGATAACTACCTGTCTCAGGAGTGTATTCACAATGCTACCTTCCCTTATCCTCTTTTTCCTCTTACAGGCACAAAGAAGCGTTCTCATGGCTCACCAGCACCAAGCACAAGCTCCACAGGTCGCCTGACTTTGCCAGGTGGGTAAACTGTATTGCATCATAATCCTAGTGATCCAGAGAGTAAAATGGCTGGTTTCTCAGGAATTGAGTGTAGCATAATCATATGCTAGCTGAGCATATGATTACTTTTCCACTGCAACCTCTTATCAGAGAGCTTTGTCTGAGGTTCCTCCAGGGAAGGACATGCTGTATTCTAGTTGGTTCACCTTTGTTTGTGTTCTTTCTTGATGTTCATCTGGACATGCTATGGAAGCATTTCTTTGAGAAACTGATGGTGCAGGGGAAGGAATGTGAGGTTTTGATGGGAGACAGACTTGGGTTCAGCTCTGGCTTTGCCATGTTCAAATTGCGTGAGTTCACCATGCTTACTCAGCTTCATGAGCTTCTGTTTCCTCATCTCTGCAGCTAGGAATCCCTGTAAATACACAGCATATACAGTACATACATATATATACTGACACAGAGATTGGTGTCAGTAGCTAATCAGCCTGTGCTGTTGAGAAATATGGAAGTCATCTGTATATGTGAACTGTATTGAATCCCATCTAATATTTATTAGAGAATTTTGAGCTTGATCACTGTTTCATATGAGAGCCATATCGTGGTCATTATGTCTGTATACAAGGGAACATTGTCTACTACAATTTCATGTTTATAAGTAGACTTAGAAAGACATGCCTATTTGAGGAGGGGTAATAAAGGTTAATAGGAGCATTCCAGAAAACGGAAAATATAATAAAATTATTAGAAGGAAAGCTTTTGCCAATATACCATCCAGAGCACACCAGTATTACATATCTTTCCAGTCTCTACTAAATTGTCTTCCCCAGGTTTTATTCTACATGGAGTTTTTGTTTCCTTTCTTTTAAAATTTACTATTACAATATGAGATTCCCTCCATGTTATTAAATAAATTAAAAATAGTTCATTGACTAGCATTTCCTTCTTTCTTTCTTTTTCTGACTAGCATTTCATATGATTATGACACAATTTCTATTAATTTGACATAAATTGATCATTAATAATTTGACATTTAAGTAGTTAGCATTTTTATTTTTATAATTAACCTTATATTCTTGTACATAAATCTTCTAGGCCATATGTATGAAGTTAGGATAGATTTCTGTAGTAAAATTACTGAATCAAAGAATATGTACATACTTAGGTTCATACTCTTTGACATTATTATCAAAGTAATTTCTGAAAAGGTAGTATTATTTTATACAATGAGTGACGACTTTGCCATTTCACTCTTCTCTTGCTGATGCCAAGCTTAATAAGTTAACACAATAAGAAACATTATATCTGCATAGGTTGGCATTTATTTTATCTTTTAAAAAATCTGCTTTCTAACATTAATTAATCCTTTACATTTCTTCTTTCTGAAATTGCCATATTTTATCCATTCTGAAAGGCACCCTTCCACTTTCGCCCTTCTGAAATAGGAATGTTTGCAATCAACGGTGCTTTATCATAATTTAATTACCAGCAATTTTTCTAGGTTGTACATAAAATAATATTTAACTTTTCAAAGTCATTGACATTTTAGATTAGATGAAATGTAATCAATGTCTGTTTCTTCAACCTCAGCTTCTTGGCTTCCCAGCCCTATAACAGCCAGAGTCAGTGTCTACCTAAACTCTCTTGCCTCTCCCCCATGTCCCTGAGATGTATTCACCTTTTGTTTCCTTGACTCATTTCTCTTTGCAGTCCTTCAAGCTCATCTAGGAGAAGTAACATTAACATAATTATTTGCTTATGAACCCCTTTATCCATGGATAGGTGGCTTTTTCAGGGGTAGAGACTGATTTCTTCCTTTCTGCCCCATGCCTCTGCCTGATAAATAACAGGCACATATTGGGTGTTCATTACTTTTATAAGGCTGAATGTGTGGATGTGAGTGTGTACCCTCCAGTTGAATTTATGACTATACAGAAAGCAACTATCCTCACAAAAAGGCTCATTTTTTTCAAGTTCAGTGCTGAATCTAGTAAACTAACTGACTTTTTTTAAGTTGAGATGACACTGGTTTACAACACTGTTGATTTATTTAGAGAAATAAGCTTACACTTCCTCGATGTTTGTCACAGCATAACACCCATCACCAAAGCACCCACTGTCCTTTACCTGAGACCATGGCTCCCCGTCTTTGATCCTATCCCTCCCACCTTACCTCTCTAGTCACCTCAATTCTTCAGTCATATTTCCAGGATTTATTTGGTTTAGTGTTATCAGGTTCTTTGTTTCGTTTCTCTGTGTTCCACATTTGTGTGAAATCATTCCGTATTTGTCTTTTTTTTCTGTTTTATCTCACTTAACCTAATTCCTTCCAGTTCTATCCATGTTGTCACATATGGTAAGAGTTCATCTTATTTTTTACAGCTGAGTAGTATTTCCATCCTATGTATGGAAATACATAGTATGTATGCTAGCTTGCTTTTTAACATTGAATCGACCTTGTTCAGAAGTTTCTGGAATCCCCTTTCATCTTGTCCTTGTTTGTAGTTATTATGCTCTTAGGTAGATAGGTATTAGGAGAAAACATGCTGTAGACCAAGCAATTCCAGTATATACTAGACATTTGGGTTGATTCCACATCTTCCCTATTGTAAATAGTGCAGCAATAAACATAAACGGGAAGAGCACATGGAGCTATGGTGATGGCAAATGGGTGAAGAGGTGGTGGAAAGTCCACAGAGATTACAACCGAGATGAAAAAATGTACAAAATGAAGAAAGATATAATATATATGTATGTATATGTATACACACACACACACATAAACACATATATAATTAAAAATGTACTCATTCATTAAAAAAAAACTCACAGAAAGTTGGCTAATGATTGGCAAAAGAAATTCCATGCAAGTTATAAAGCAAGTTCTTTGGAAAAGGTGCTCCATTTTAACCTCAGTTTAGCATTTTATTATACAAGTGGACTACGGAGAGTTGTTTTCCTGTTGGAAGACTTTTTTATTATTATTATGAACAATGCTTTACACATTTTTTTTGTAAGATATATACCATCTAACACAATTTATATTATTTTTTAAAACAAGGAAAAATATGAGGTGGTTGAATATATACTCAGGAATAATATATATCAAATTTGGCATGGTAGTTTTTTGGGAGGTAGTGGGAAATATTGTGCAGGGTATACTGGGCCCTTCAGGTTATGTGCTATTTAATCTCTTCAATTACAGTTTTGAGCAAATATGCAAAATGTTGGATTTGTTTAAAATGTATTGGGAAACCATGGATATTATGTTGTTTTGTACACATTTCTGTGCTCCAAATCTTACATAATGAAGAGTCTTCTAAGTGAAAAGTCTGTGACCATCTTCCAAGACAGTTTGGTTTGGTTTCATCATCTAGACATGGTATTACCTGTATTTAGAGACATTTAACATTTTCACTTTAAACCTATTGGAAGAGCTGGGTGTTGGGACACGAGGATTCAGAGGTGAAGAAGTTCTGCCAGGAATACGCTGCAAGATGTGAACTGTCCAGCAGACACAAGCTCATTAGGAACCGGTCGTGTGGTGTCCAAAGTTACCAAGGGGGTCGTCTGCAGCTCTGGCACCAGAAAACTGCTCTGGGGACACCTTGATTCCTTGCATGTCTGGAGCACAGTGGCAAAGTGATAGCACTTGCAGCTGATTTTTTTTTCTAGAGGCAACTGCAGCTCATGTCCCCTGAGCTTTCTGACTCCAGTCAGGCTCCATGGAGAGCCAAGGAAGTGTAGGCTCTCGCTGCAGAAGCAGCCCAGCGTTTCAGCACCACTTTCAGTCATGACTGCTAATGACGGAGACTAGTCAGGGACTGACTTCCCCCAGGGCACCTCGGCCACAGCCCTTTTCTGAAGCGATCCTTAGGTGGACAGGTACAGTAGCCTCGCCACTGCGCCTGTAGTAGCGGATTGCTCCTGTGTGTGCAGCTGCTCGCATGAACGGTAGTATAGCTGGCAGCCGCAGCCCTGCTTCTAATCTCCACAATCTGATGTAGAAAGTTTGTGTGTTTCTGTGCCAGTTGGCTTGCAATGACATTGTTGTGTGTCCTGTTCTAGGAGACTATGGATAAAACGTCCATCCAACGGATTCCTCAGAAGACAATGGACCAGCTCTGAGGTCTGAGGATATTTTAGGATGCTTATGTTTCCTTTACCAAAACAAAATATAATGTATATTGTAAGTTATTAAGATATTAACATCAAAAGCAATAATGTTTGATCTCCCAGTTCTGCTTTATAACAATAAATACTTTCATATGTATTGTACAGCTAAGCAGAGTGGAGAAAGTGCTGGGCTCATAACATTTAATATCTCAATCCTCACAACAACCTCTAAGGAAGGTACTGTGATCTCCATTTTGCACATTGGGAAACTGAGACATAATCAGATATAGGTCACCCAACATTAGCAGTACGCAAGCCTGTGATTTCTGCTCAGAGTTTTATTGCTAGTAGGTAAAAGTTGACATCAAAGAGTCCACACTTTCTTTCACATTTGTCATCTACCCAGGGATTAGATCAACCACCCATGTACCAATTTTAAGTGCAACTGAGACAGAAGTTGTCCTGTCTTTACTGTCTTTTAAGTGAAGATTCCAATGAATAAACTTCTTGCAGCTGTCTTCTGACTTGAGTTCAGTTTAACAAATGACAGTGTCTTACAATGAATGAGATCAAAACTCATCTGTTATGCACTGATTTAGCTCTTCTGAGTCCCAACACCTGGATAAGCTTATCTTTCCAGGTTTCTACTGGCTCAGGTCACTGTTGGTAAGAACAAAAGACCTAGAAATATTAAGCAAGACTTGCATTCTCCATCTTCATATACACCCAGGAAACACACACACTGACTAGAAAAGCCCAGTAAAAGGCTTATAAGAACTTGCATAATCTCCATCATATTTTCCTCATTTGAAAAGGCATGTGTCATGTACTTTGGCTTGCCAGAGCAAACAAGGTGAAAACAAAGTACTAAGTTGAAGATGGTTGCCTCTCTGATGGAGGAC